CTAATAATTCATTATATGTGATAAAGAAACGTTTCCCGCTTCCAAAACCAATGGAAATTTGCTTTTATTTTTTTATTTTTTTACACTTTGTTCGGATCTGAAATAATTGCTCTGTGTCGAACGATGCAGTATTTCTTATTGTCCTTATTTGGCAGTATCAACACATTCTATCTGATGCACTCTGGCGCCGAGACATGCACACCCTGGGGCAATTTCGGAATTTCTTAATGAAAGAATATTTTTTTTTCCTCTAATTTCTTTATACTTTTGCCTTCTGTTCGCATAATTTCTCCCTGCTGTGTTACATAAATCGCGACTTATTTTTGAATAGACAATATTAATTTTACATTCGCATTGCCAAATTAAAATTCAGTAGTATTTTATTGAGATAAGGAAATTGAAAATTACGTCAGACAAATAAGGAACATCGAATGAATGGCAAGAAAAAAGTTTCATTGATTGATTTCCTTTTCTTACGGTATACCAACCTTTTGCAGGTTATTTAAAGCCAGAAATTATTTTTAGATTGTAAAAAAAAAAAAAAAATTAGGGTAATGGATAGCGGCTCGGATTGAGAAACCGGAGATCGGAGTTCGAATTCCAGTCAGCTCCATTATATTCATTACGTGAATGTAATGGATACGCTTAGGAAAGGTATGAATCCTTATCTTCCCCCCCCCCCACCCAGAAGCTATGGGGAAATAGCAGGGCAGACCGAGTTCTACAGCCTTGGATGACAACTGGTTTACTGTAGAAAGAAATGGCAACCTACTGCGGGAAAAATTTCTGCCTCGTCAGTCATGTATCTTTCGATACATGATCGCCTAAGCGTGTATCACGCATGGCACATAACTGAATCGGAGAGCCGAGTTCGAATTCCAGTCGAATTATTACATTCAATTACGTGCTAATACCCCTGGGAACAGTATAAATCCTCATCTTCTTCTCCCCTCAGTTATGCGTAAATAGCAGGACAGACTGGGTTCTATAGACTTGGATGGTAACTGCTTTACCGCAGAAAGAAATGGCAACCTACCGTGGGAAACAATCTGCCTCGTCAGTCATGTATCGAAAGATACATGATCGTCTAAACGTGTATCACGTATGGCATTTAACTGAATAAAACCTAGAGAGGGGTTAAAGATGTGGATTCATGCCTTTCTCATGTGGTATTTGCGCGTATGTGAATATAACAGACCCAACGAGAATTCGAACTCGGCTCTCTAATCTTCAATTCCGAGCCGTTATCCATTACACCACCCGCACATCCAAGACTAGAGCACCTGGAATTTCCAAGTCACCCATTTAGTATTTTATTGAGATAAGGAAATGGAAAATTACGTCAGGCAGTGTAGAAACACCGAATGAACGGTAAGACAAAGTTTCATTGATCGTTTTCTTTTTTTTTTACAGATTACCAACCTTTGCAAGTTATTTAAAACAAGAAATCATTTTTAGATTGTAAGAATTATTTTGGAAATAATAATAATTTTGTTGAATGACGTCCTCCCGATAAACTCAGAGCTGGGGAGAAAAGAAGTATTTACACGTAAGCGAATGTAATGAACCCAACCGGAATTGAAACACGAAGCTCCGATTTTCAATTCCTTGCTGTTAAACATCACACCGTCCGCATAACTAACCTGGCAATTCTCAAGCGGGGGGTCAACAATCTAGGTACTGATGCCTCAACTTCAATGATCGTACCAGAAACGGTTTTTCGAAGTGATATGGTCGTAAGTCCTTTAGACCACACACACATCCAGGCTTATAAAACGCGCCATTTCCATGCGGTCACCCATTTACGTGCTGACCAGGCTCGACGTCGCTTAACTTCACTGATCGCACAAGAACGCGAGTTTCAACGTGATATGGCCGTTAGCCCTTTTCGCGCTTTCAAGCTTACAACACCGGGTATTCTCAAGTGGTTACCCATCAAAGTACTGGCCAAGCTCGACGTTGCTTAACTTCTGTGATCGCACCAGAACTAGCGTTTCAACGAGATATGGCTGTAAGCATTTTAGACCACTCGCATATCCAAGCTTACAACACTGGCCATTTTCATGCAGTCACCCATCTAGGTTCTGACCAGGCTCGACGTTGCTTAACTCCGGTGATCATGCAAGAACGGGTTTTTCGAAGTGATATGGTCTTAGGCCCTTAAGTTCCACTCGCACATCCAAGCTTACAGCATGTGTTATTCTCAAGCAATCACCCATCTAGTTACTGACCAGGCTCGACGTTGCTTAACTTCGGTGATCGTACCAGAACGGGTGTTTCAACGAGATATGGCTATAAGCACTTTAGATCACTCGTATATCCAAGCTTACAACACCTGCCATTCCCATGCGGTCACCCATTTAGGTTCTGACCAGACTCGACGTTGCTTAACTCCGGTGATCATACGAGAAACGATTTTTCGAAGTGATATGGCCTTAGGCCCTTATGATTCACTCGCATATCCAAGCATGTGTTATTCTCAAGCAATCACACATCTAGT